ACAGTAATTTGACATAAACCAAATGTTCAGACTCCAATCGGGGTCTGAACACGTCGTGATCCTTTCTAACTCCTCTGGCTGTTGCGATGTGAAGCACTTTATGAGGATCTATGCGTAGGTTGCAACGTTTCAACTATTTCAATATTTTATCAATGAGCTGAGCACTCAGTTTGGTTTTTGCAATAGTTTACCTTGTTTGAAGAATAACTAATACAAACATTGATTCGTATCTAATTACACATCAAAGTGGGAGGGTAAAACCCAAGAGAAATCACAATTCGATGAAGGAGGTAAATGGATAGATTCGCAAATCATAAGCCAGAGCTGACATTTACCTCATCTGAAGCAACAAAAAATTTTCAAACAACAGTACAAAAGCAAAGAACAATGAACCGGTACCAGAACGAGCGTCTCAACAGGATAGAATCAACGCGCCTCGTTTTTAGCAGGCAATGAGTGGTATCAATCATATCCACAAGACAGGCTGTACTTATACTACATTATGTGATAGGAGACCGATTAATTCTGGAGTACAGCAAACTAGCAATCAAGAAAATTAGCAGCCATTAACAGCTCAAGCGCCACTTCGGGAGTAATGTTGAATTCCGGGATTTCCGTCGCCGAACTGGTGTAGCGAACTTTGTATGCGAAATACTGGCACACTTTTTGGAGCACGTGCGATCTAGACGCGACTGTCAACATTTTTTGCCAGATAAGAATCTCATTCAAACTAATATTAATGGGTACCAAAAACCATCGAAGCTTTCTTTCCCAAGCAACAATTTTTCATGGCGATTTGGAATAATGAAAAGGGTTGAAGGAAAAAAAAATTTGAATGCTTTGTAAAAAAAAATATTCGTCAGATATAAGTCATCATCTAACAAGATTCACTCACGGTATCTCACGAAAGTTCACTTCATTGCTCTCATTCTCGGAGTATTGTCCGGGTCCACTCAGCATAGCCTTGATAGTGCCAGAAGTCAAAGCGAGTTCCTATGAATCACGTGCAAGAAAGGTTTGTTAACACAATAACTACATATTAATGAAGCTTCATTGAAAACAGGAATTCTTACCTTCTTGATAAAGAATTGATGCCCATCACTACTAACCAACTTCACATAGGTAGCATCTGGACCTTCACAACCTCCATATGCTGAGATATTTGATAATTAAAACAAATTTTACCTCATTTAGAACTTGAAACAGTCTCACTTTTTGTTTCCTTTGCGTCCGCAGTAGAGCCGGAGGAACTCATTGCTAAGATAACGAATAGGAAACCTTTAAACGACTACTCGTATGTAATCAGATATGACAAAGATAGAACTAGTGCACAAGAGCGACTTCCCAAAAAAAACCTTTACTGAGCAGACCTGCACATCAAATGCGGAAAATTCAGTCCCTGAAAGCTCAATTGAATATAAGCAAGACTACAGCATAGCGATAAGAAAAGAGATAAGTTCATTTTTAACTAAGACTACAAATTGTGACTGGTCAATTCGTACTCGTTTCTTCTCAATTAAAACTAAAAACATTGTCACTCAACAATTGTACAAATCACAGCTAAAATAAGTAGAATTATACACGGCTTAATACTTAGGTATCAGAAACCACTTAGGCACAATCGGGAATAGGAAAGGCTGATCGCAGTGAATGTAAAGTATGCACCTGAGATCTTTCCCATACTAAAATAAATAACACGATATGATCACAACTCGAGGAGAATTAACAACAATGAGCGACTGTAAACAAATATTGCAGTAAAGCTAGGATATAACAAAGAACTCAATCTGTGCCAGTCAATCAAACCGGAAACATACAAATCACTGTGATAGAGAAACTTAGGCTTTAGAGCGTAGCAAACATGGGATTGTACAAATACCTGAACTAGCAAATCGGAGTGAAATGGCAGATCATCGATTGTATGAAGATAATTAAGAATAACACCAGTATGGCAATAACGATGCAGATAATGATCTTCTTCTAAATGATAACCATAAAGCCTCTTGAGCGGTTTTTAACAGTATATGTTAAAAGAATGGTCTTCGCTTGACTAAAAGAAAAACAAATGAACATACCTTTCTAGCCCTTTTCATAAGATCTCGTGCATCTTTTACGTTCTGTTTAGCTTTCTCAGCATAATCCACTGCATCTTCAATATTCGTCTCGATTCGATCAAGCATTTCGCCCTAAAAAGGTAACCTTCTTTTACAGCATACACTATAAAATGTTCAAAAACTCGCCTGACTTAAAACCAAATTGTTCAGGTCCACGAACATTTCACCCAACTCTCTGATGACCTTCTCAATTTCGAACAACTCGTCACGTCGCATTTTAACGTCCTCAAAAAGTGCCTTCTTGTCACTGTATGCGAGAAGTATCTACAATTTTAAAAATTCGAAGTAAAACTTATTGAAGGGTAAGTGGAACAACGTACGCCCTTCGTTCTCTCAAATATGTCACCGTTATCGATAGCATCACTTATTTCGTCGTCCGTCAACGTGATGTCCTCTGAAATACAAATTCAGCAAGGCTCGTGTACTTCAACTATGTACTAAAGTCACCTAACTAAAGAATAAAACTATGAGAAGTGTGAGTATGAAAGAAGATAACTCACGTATTTTCAAGTAATCAGTTATTTTCTTTCTACATCGTTCCTTATAGTTCTCCTCTTCTTCGTTGAACTTCCACATCACATCGTGAAGGGCTCGCGTCAGGCCGCGAACCTGTAATTGTATAATTCAGCAAAAGAAAATATGGGTGAAGTCGATTACCTGATTGCGTTTTATTCGGGAGTCCACGGATTTAGAGTCATCTGGATGTGACTTGCTGTTCACTTCCTTGTCTAGTCCTGAATCGGTTTTCACAAGTGAAAATTGTTGGTCAAATAAAAAAAATAAGTAATTACCCACTTTTTATCTTCTCCCGTGCAACCATAGATGTTGCTCGGAAATTCTCCATTATGGTACGAAGCTGTTGCGATTTTTCTAAAACACGTTTAAATAATCCATAATCCCATACAAAAAAAAGAGCTCACTTGGATCTTTCACAAACCTCCGTCAGTAGCTGGTGCAAGCAGAAGTTCGCCATGTAGAATGCGTACTTCTTCCAACCATGCCTCCAGTTGACCCACAATGCTTCGCAAATCAGTCATGCGATTCAAGAACTATAAATATGAACAGCTATAATTGTACATTTGCATGAGAAGGACGCGGCAATATAAACCCACGCCTTCTAGTGAGGTCTCTTCATCGTGCAGAAGCTTAGCTGCCTCCGGCGAGATGTGACGAACATGCTTATTATTGGAATTAGAAGTCGACCTCTCAGAGAGATTCTGAAATGTTGCCCTCAGAAACTCAAGTAATTAGATTAGTAGACTGCTTTCAGATGTGAGAAACTTCAAACAGATCCTAACTCTTTCCTTTCGCTTTGATTAGAACAAAATTGAGAATACATAGATAAGGCTTTGAAACAGAAGTACCTGTTAGAGTTCGCCAAAAAGTATGTTTCTAATTGAGTACTGACAATAGTACTAGAGTACTTGATCAATTAATAAGGAACGCACCTGAAATTCGGCCAAGCGGTCTTTGACCATGTTTCCAGTAGGAAATTCCCCTTTTACTAAGATGTACTCAGAGAAGCAACTAATTGGAAATTAGTAAAATCCCACGATATCAACACATCTAAAAATAGATGTTTGAAAAAAGAATGACAGAAGCATATGAAAAGAAAGAAAGGCAGAGCATTCCTTGAAATGAGAACAGAGAAGCGGCTGGAAACAAGACCGATCTTTCTTCTTTAAATTCATAAAAGGCTCCGCTACAAGTACCTACATATGATGAGCTGAACGGGTTTGGAGGTTCGGTATGACTAATGCGTTGTGAAATGAGAATGATAGCAATCTCACATAAAATCTATAATTAATTTAGAAAACTATGCAGGAACATACCAATATTAACGGTGGACAAAAATGGCAGTTTTGTTGATCAAATTTAGGCGAATATTCAGTCAAGCAAAATTAGCAGAACAGCCCAAAAGAACACTGGATTCATTATCGTGATGAAAGTTCATGGAGACTTGACAAAGCATAGTGACAGCTACTTTGAAATACTGCATTTGTAGCGTGTCAAATACACGAAAAGAGAGATGAGGCCCACAAAACTAAAAACCTCTTTTTGCATGAAAACAAATCCTTGTTTATTTATAAAGCTTCAAAACTACTATC